AGTCTCTCTCTTGGTCAGGCTCAGACCAAGAGCTATTTTCATCACAGATCGTTTTGCAGAGCTCTTTATCTGCTCTTCACACCACAATGCAGTCAATCTTATATAATTAAACTATTAGTTCATATTTGTAGTAAAAAATATAATATTATTATTAATTTTGATGAGCATTTCCATATTTTGTTACTGTGTATTTTGGGCAATAACGGCTTTTTGCAATCAATAGGGGTCCCATTAGGGTCGATACCTGAAGAGATAGAATGTGAGACTAGCCTTATATTTCCGCCCCTTTAGAAAAAGGCTAGTAACGTTTTACAGTGGCATAAATTAATAGAACTCGACGTTTTCTAAACCACTGTTGCAGTCACTGAAACGAAACAAGTTGCCCAACAATTAGAATTTTTTTTCAAGTATATCATTAAAACTACGAAGGACTCTCCAGCACTTTCAATTAGTCTTCTTATAAGACATTTCAAAGAATGCCGCTCTGATTTCCAATTTCAGAACACACATCCCCAATCAGTAATAAAGGCGTTTAAAGATGTTAATGTTAAGTCTACAGAGGATCTATGGGGAATGTCTGTTGAAGTGTGTACGTCTGCTATTGAAGCTGTAGCGCCTTATTTAGCTTTAATTTATAATAGAAGTGTAGATCAGGGAGTTTTTCCAAATTTGATGAAACAAACATGAAAGTGTGGGAGTGCCATGCTTCGGCACGCATGGGTCGGCTCACCCGGAGTTACCACGGAGATACCACGGCTTCACAGAAATCCGGCGTGAAATAACCAAAGAGTTGTGTTTCGCCGTGTGAGTGAGGTTACCGGAGGCCCAATCCTTCCCCTACCCCAATCCGTTCCCTTTCCCAAAATCTCCAAATCACCAATCCCCAAAAGGTCGACAACGTACTCGTAACTGGAACATAATTGGATAACGCTATTGGAAATGTTTGTGACCTGTCCAAAGCTTTTGATTGCGTTGAACACGAGACATTGTTGCTGAAGTTGGAAAACTACAGTATTCAAAGGGAATCTCTAAATTTATTAAAATCATACCTCCAGGGTAGGCTTCCTGATGTCACAAACCGTTGCGATAGTCGTTGCAAGGATCAACAAACACAGTTCGGACTTGTGGAGCGTCATGTCCATCACCGCGCCAAATTATTGTATGGCGGAATGAGCTCCGGCGCGATCTCATGGCAGAGTGGAAACAGCGTCTGTTGCAATCTAGGGCCGGGCATTATAGCAGCGGTAAGACCCTTCTTTGAGGAGTGGCTTGAGAGACGCCATAGCGTCCTTACCTTCCGCCTAACGCAGGTGCTTACCGGGCACGGCAGCTTAGGTAGGTTCCTGTTTGGGATTCGGCGGGAGGAAACGCCCGAGTGTCGTAATTGTGAGAGCTACCCAGAAGACACGGTGGAGCATGTGGTGGCGGTGCTTAGTCTGAGCACCGCCGTGTTTTCAGGGAAGTGATCGGCGGCGGCGACCTCTCGCAGCCGGCTTTAGTCGGGGCCATGGTGCCGTCAATTGGGACTGGTCAGCCCCGGACTGTCTATTGCCCTTAAGGTTATTTTTTTTTTATGTTTCTCTGTATATTAGTGTTATACTATTCTCACATAATCAAACCAACTAAGTAATGTACCAAAGAATCTTTATGTGAAACTGATTTAAAAAGAGTAACCATATTTTTTGCTCGTTCTTCTACATCGGAATCTACACTTTGGAACGAATAAATAACTTCACTAACACTCGGTTTCTGACAGGCTTGTCAACGCTAAAATTAACTAATCTCCTGTTAAATCTCTTGTCAAGTCATCTGATTGGTTGTTGATAATTTAGTCAACCAATCAGATGACTATCTGGAAGTCAATGGGGGAGGCCTATGTTCAGCAGTGGACGTCCTGTGGCTGATATAACGATGATGATGATGAATCAGATGACTTGACAAGAGATTAAATTGATTTTAACATTGATTGGCCTTTCGGAAACCGGGCGTAAGAGGACTGACCGACAGACTGACACTTTATATCTTTAAAATTTAGTTTGACGTTCAAAAGTGCCTATATGGGTCTTATTGAAGTGAATGATTTTCACTTTTGTATAGTTTTTTTATTTATTTATATAGAGTGATAAAACCTAATTCAACTTCAAAAATGATGCTTTGCAGTCATCGTGCTGATTAAAAAGTTAAATACACGGACCTCTTTTTTAGGTAAGAAAATTATCCAATGAATTATCCCTCAGGGTGGGCGAGTGCGCGGGTCTGTTTTCAGGGGGTGGGGGGTTAGCCAGTAAGAGTCTGACACTCTCTCCCTCTGAGAAAGCCTTTAATTTGTTTCCCCTTACGAATTTCAGACTCTTATACCATGCTTCCCACCCCTTATCCTGCTACAAGCTGGGGCCGTGATATATTATTACGCTTGCACCCGTAACCCTGGCCGGCACTGAATCTAGTGGGCCTCATCTGTGGTGGTCTGATCTAGTTCGAGCTACCGATATTCAATAATAAGTAAATGCAGCTTTAATGTCTGGCTACTTTTTGCCAAAGATTATTAATACCTGATCACTTTGTCTATTATACTACTTTATTAAGAACTAACTTCTGCCAGCGACTTCGTCCGCGTGAAACAGTGACTTCTGGCAGATTATAGGTTTTACCCACATAGTTCCCGATCTTGTATGAATTTTCGGTAACTTGTCCTTTCTCGAGTTTCAAACATAAAAATTATCCTATGTCCTTTCTCGAGTTTCAAACTTGTCTGTACCAAATTTTATCCAAATCGGTTGAGAAGGAGAGTCAGACAGATAGAAAGAGTTACTCACGCATTGATAGCATTGGATTGAAATAAAACAAACACAGACAACTGAAAAACCGATGGTTATTGATTTTTAGTGCACCACAATACATATTAAAAGTTCCTGGCAATCTTATTATATTACAATAAATCTGTGGACATGTCAAATCTGTACATGAAATATAAAATAAGAGGTGCTTGCGACTTCGCCCGCTTGGTACCACACATTGTTTTGGGTTCTATTGCGTATATGAAAATATGAAGTTCCTCTAGTAAAGATTTTCTTATTTATTTTTTATATACAGACACCAACCTTTTACTGTTTATTATATGTATATTGATTATTATCTTGGAGCATACCGCCGAAAAAGTGCACGCATGTGTATTGATTTCTATTTTTTTATTGAATAGATTATATAGTAAACTTTTTAAATTAGGGATAAGTTAGAGTGTTATAAACGCATGAGTAAACAATTACATTCAGAATGCTCCGAACTGAGCTATCAGGAGTTACATGTGTTATTGTGAGTCAACCATATAAGATAGACATACATATACTGTTGTAGGACATTTTGTAGGCAATTTTGTGTTGAACATTTCCGTGGAACATTATTTCTATGTAACTTTAAGCATTAAATGTATACACGCGACGGAAACTTAAAAAAGGAAGGACTTCTCCAGTGTTGCCATCATTTCCCTTAACCCGCGAGCACTCGCGCTATGAGCATTTTGCTCACAGTAAATTTAAAACACGCGCCATTTTGTCAAAATCATTCGCACGTACATCTTTCATTTGGTAGCTGAGTTTTGTTACGTCCCCCACCCCTGTATGCAGTTCGCTTCTCGCTAGTGCGCGCCGGTAACCCGGACGAGGTGGTTTGTTGAGCCGTGTACCATCAGGCGGCGTTTTGCTCATCGCGCGTGTATCGACGTAAGTACTTTTTTTTACTCATGATTTATTAATTTTTTATCTTAGCGACAGTTTTACTGCTACTTTTATGTAATATTATGATTTTAAATTACTGATATAATGATCTATTATTTATTTCTATTATAGATGGATCGTAATCGAGAGGATGAACAAATTTTGGCATGGTTGATGGAGAAAGGTTTGGAAGACATTGAGGACCCGTCTTTTAGAGCCGATGATATTGAAAGCGATCGAGGCAGTGAACATAGTCATCATTCCACTAACACCGAGCAATCGTCATCGGAAGTAGAAGGTGAGGTTTCTTCAATTTCACCGGGAAATCAGCTGTGTTACGTAGGCAAAGATGGGTGTACAAAATGGAACTATAATCCACTTCGTTCCAATGTGAGAACAAGAGCTCACAACATTGTCGAAAAACAACCAGGGGTAAAACTAGTGGCTAAAAATGCTAACACTATAATGGACTGTTTTCTCCTCTTTGTGAGTGAAGAAATGTTGACTGATATAGTTCACTTTACAAATATCCATATCAATAAAATCAGGGACCAATTCTCAAGAGAGAGAGATTGCAAAGAGATAGATATTGTAGAACTGAAAGCCTTTATTGGTATTTTGTACATGGCCAAGAAGCCAATTACAAAATATTTCATATCCTCTCCAGCAATTGCTGAAACGTTTTGCACCAGATCTTGAGTTACCAGAAGAAGAAAAACCAAGTGGTATCTGTGCGGTTTGCCCAAGACGCAAAAATCGCAAAACCAAAAGTTTTTATGTACCGAGCATAGTCGTACACTATGTGATATGTGTAAAGCTCGAGTATATGATGAAGATTAATTATTTATACTTAGTTAAGTTTTTTTTTAAATGTGTTTTTTTTGTTTAATTTTTTCCCTAAGACTGCCTTAGAAGACTGGCAATTTAGTTCCTATGATTGTTAATTAAAATAAAAAAGATTAATGTTGTTAACATTTTGAATATATATTTTTTACAATAAATAATGTGTATTTTATTTGACAAAATATGTTTTTATTAATATTTTTGTGTTAAACTTGCATTTATTGACATTCATAAACGTGAGCAAAATGCTCCATGCGCGAGAACTGATGTAATTTCTTGAGGCGCGAGTGCTGGCGGGTTAACTGCTCTATTCCTATTAATAGTAGCGTGACGAAAAGTATACTATAACCTGCCCAAGAGTATAAACAATAATTCTACTAAGTTTCGTTAAAATCCGTCCAGTAGTTTTTGTTTCTATAAGGAACATACAGACAGACAGACAAAAATTTTACAATTTTAGATTATACAAGGTAGGTAGACAATAAAAATAAAAGTAAATGGTATTTGAAAAAGTAATCGTTTATTAAATACATATACATTCATTAGACTTCATTCATTATGCTTTAGTTGAACGGAGGCCTTCTTGTGTTGATCCTGTAGATGAAATTGCTGAAAAACATTATTATGGGTTTATTATAAATCTTACATCATACAAACATAACGTGACACATTTTATTCCTGAAAACAGTGTTCAATTTTACTTTGCCCAAGTTGCACCTTCTCATTCAGGAAAACAATTTGACATCCCTTGACTAGCGAGGCAGATTTATATTAATTAATCTTTTTAACTAAGTATATCATTCATCAATTATTCATCAATTATTTAATCTTTTTAACTAAGTATATGTTCAACATTTTAACTAAGTATAAAATTTGACCAAATATATTTGAAATAAGTGTGGGAGAGCCATGCTTCGGCACGAATGGGTCGGCTCGACCGGAGTGATACCACGGCCTCACAGAAAACCGGCGTGAAATAACCACTGCGTTGTGTTTCGCCGTGTGAGTGAGGTTACCGGAGGCCCAGTCCTTCCCCTTCCCCAATCCCTCCTCAATCCCTAAATCTCCAAATCCCTAATCCCTAAAAGGTCGGCAACGCACTCGTAACTCCTCCGTTGCGAGTGTCCATGGGCGGCGCTGATTGCTTACCATCAGGTAATCCGTCTGCTCGTTTGCCGACCTATTACTTACATAAAAAAAAAAAATAAAAAAAAATAAAGCAATAATGGGAAGTATTTTTGTTCTAAGATCCATATGATTTATTACAATGGCATTCTGCATGTAAAGAAGAACGCAAAATTGAAAATAAATAATTATGGCCAATGAAAAATAAGCATTCAGCGTTTGAATTCGTAAACTAGCTAAAAGTTTTGAGTATTATTAGCAAAATGATTTACATACCTCGATATTTCAACACCTTTAGATATTTCAGTACCACCTAATTCGAGACCGTCTCCACGACATAAATTTAGGTTCATTTGTGTCATAGAAGAACATCTATATCCTCGTAGATTCGGGTTGCTCATTGATGCTGCAAACAGCTCGAAAGATCGATCATGGCAACAGGAGTGCAGGATGCAGCCTGGTTGATTATTTCCTCCGTTGACGTAAAAGTTTACATTGCCAATAGGATCTCCGATACCATAAGCAAGGGCACCTAGAGTATCCGTGTGAATCACTTCCACATATTTAGCATCACCTCGGTACAAGCGTCTGGAACCAGCTCCCCATTGACGTCCCGCTGGGTTTAAACCTAGAAATAAACGTTTCTTAATAAAACTTTATCATTTTATACAATCACTTATTAAGGCCTGTTCTATATTTCGACTGTATAGTGGTTGCATTTTTGTTTTAAATCGGACTAGCGTACCCTCTCCGAAAACCCCCACATATCAATCAGCGAAAACGTTAGGCCGTTTCCAAGATCACATGCTTTGATGATCACCAGCGCCATTTGGCGCTGATTGCTGCGCAGCATCTGGCTGATTTGCGAATCTAAACAATCCAGGTCAAGCCGTTTAGGAGATTATCAATGACATAGGTGCACACGTATAGCAGAACGATATATAAAAAGCAATTTTATCTATTAGTTTTAAGATTCATAGTTAGTAAACTATATCATCCATATCTTTTTATATATAATTCTGCTGTACGTGGGTATGTAATTGAACTCCTCCTACACCGCTTTTTCTGTATGCGTTTGCGTGGCGCCCTGGATGGTTCAGATTTACAAATAAGCTCGGCAGATAGCGCTGTTTCATTGAAAAAGGCATGTGACCTCGGAAACCCTAGGTAGAATGTATAAGGATCTTCAGTAGATGTGTGACTGTATTCATTGCAAATGAATATGTATTATATTCTATTCTATCGTAAGTAGTGTACGTTTAATGAAATAAAACTCACCGGTGATTCTACCAATTTCTTTAGAATTAGCTCGAAGAAGTCTACCAGCAATTCCAGCTACGTGCGCTCCAAGGTCAAACCCAACCAAGTGCATTTCTTCGGTATTCGCCGTAATTTCTGGTGTTTCATTCGTCGTCGTTGTTGGTTGTAAGTTATCAGACTGCAGAGTTGTTAACCATTGTATAAATTCAACCAATTCGTTAGCAACATTTTCCACATTCAGCCTTGCTTGTGTGTAACTTGAACCCATTCCTTGTGTCCAGTCAACCTCAATAACGTTATCGTCATTGTTTTGACCTAAATTTCTAAGAATAGCTGAAAAGAACAACGTTAACAAAATTTAGTTAATGTATATTTACATACATACTTTAGTTAGTTAGTTAATGTATACATATTTAAATATTTTATAACGAACTCAAATCAAAGTGTTGGAGAACCATGCTCCAGCACGAATGGACTGGCTCGACCGGAGTGATACCACAGCCTTAGAGAAAACTGGTGTAAAGCAATACTTACGTTGTTTTGCCTTGTGAATGAGGTTACCGGAGGCCACATATTTTCCCTTTTCCCATTCCCTATCCTAAAATCCTTAAATAATTCACCAGAGGCCGGCAATGACTCTGTAGTAGCTACTTATGGGCGGCACTGATTGCTTACCATCAGGTTATCCATTCGGATAACCTCTCTTCGCTCGTTCGTAATTGTTTTATGTCATTATTCGGCAAGAATAATGACATAAAAAAATATCTAAAAGTCGCAGGTAAAAGCTAATTACTAACAAATTGTAATTTAATATACATACGTTACTTTTATAGTCTCTCTAGTTATAAATTTTCTTTTACTCTTAAATATTTTTCTACATAAATATATTATGTTTTGAAAATTTAATAAACCACCCCGTCTCTTTTCCGGCCCGCGGTATTTTATTGCGCTTTACCGATTATGGCTATATTACGATTTATTTTATGCAGATTTTTGGTATAAAAACTATCCTATGTCCTATCTCGAGTTTCAATTTATGTCTGTTCCAAATTTCTCAGAAATCGGTTCAATAGTTTAGGCGTAAGGAAAAGACAGACAGACGCAGTTACTTTCGCGTTTAAAATATTAGTTTGGATTGTCGATATTACTTATGTATAGTTATGTAAAATAGTAGCAAAAATATTTTATTCTTACCTTCTCGGACTTCTCTGTTAAATCTCACTGTATTGCCATTATATCCGTGTATTAAGAATATTGTTTGTTCTGCTGGTTTAAACAAGTCTGGTATGGGGTTGTTGGGAATCATAGATGTAAATTCGCCATTTCTTAAAAATAATATTTATCATATTAAAATGATTAGGACCGTACTTTTTATGTATTTATTTACATTACATTCACTTTTATTTCGATTAGATATACATTGAACAGAAGTCATTACATTTTTTTTGCACAAATTTAAAATATAATTTTTAATAACTTAAAAAAATATTAGTTTGCACTTACTTTTTGTATAGGGTATATACTACGGTCTGTCCATGGCATACTGAAAAAAAAGTAATTACAAAATAAATATAATAAAGAAAATTTATATCAGCTGTATTCCTAACTGTCCCTATAATAATAGTCTTCCTATTCATTGTTTCTCTGATTGCCCGCCCCGATTCGACAAGGAGCACCACACAGCGTACAAAAATTTAATTCTTAGGCAACTATTTTCCATTTTTTTTTTTTTTTTAATATTCTATGACTGAATAAATATAAATAAAATCAATTTATTGAAAATAACGACTTCATCACGTGAATTAACCAAAGAAAGCTCTAGTTGAGTTTCTGTGTCTTACGATAATTTTATTACTATTCAAAAATAAATAAAATATTAAATCAAAACATAAGATAACAAAGATAAACATTTTAACTTGGTGATTTTTAGTTGTGGTTTCCAGCCTGTCAATAATTAATTTTTATTTAAACTTAACAAGCACCACGAGTGTTTTTGACTTCATATTGACGTTCTATTCAATTTTTTGACGTATCAAATGTATTTTTCGTTATAGTCTAGTTATATATATATTGGCTTTGAAATCTGCCAAGACTGAAACGTTGAAGAAAATATTATATAATTATTAGAGAAGGGTCCCATGACATAAAGTATCTTTTATTGTGTGGTGCTCGTATTACCCAGTATTACCCATATAGTATTATGCAGGCTACATCGGTTGAAGAACAAAATACCGATGTATTATAAAATTGCTCGAATGAATCAAAGACCGGAACGCGTGGGCAGACTTGCTAAGTCGTGGACGTCATCCGGCTGATGATGATAATGATAATGCACTTATCTTACCTGCCACTGCAGCCAAAATAGTGATTAACTTCAACATGTTGCTTGATCAACTGTCTTCTAACTGCAGAAAATGTGCAAATCCCTTTGTTTATATTGCCTTCTGCAATTATCTGACTATCTGATAATCATTTGATAAAATTCCCAATGGCCTAGATCAATGTTATGATATTAAAACTGTTAATGATCATCAAAGGTCATTTCAGAATTTGCCGAACAAAAATAGTACTTGATAAGATCAATCATTTTGCAAGGATTTTCTAAAAATATTTTCTTACTAGCTTTTGCCCGCGACTTCGTTTCGAGTAGGCATCCTGCTCGGAGGTTGGAAGCTGTTCGTAAGCAGCGAGTGGGCCAGTGATGCAGGATGCTTAGGCAGATGCAGATGATCTGAGTAGAAAGCTGGTGGCAGTTTCTTGACCCTTCAGCTACTCACATTTTCGTCAACCCTCTATTGCTATTATTCCTGGGGGCACGGTCAGTGAGTTGGCGACTCTCCACCTGCCATGTTTACGTGTGTAAATTACATTATTTTGGCAGGTGCCATAGTCCTTCCATAGTTCCCATCATACCAGTCCATAACAACCCACACCCACAGCCCTATCACTTGCTTCCATTATCCGCAATAGTCCTACACTAACCGGGGACTGTTATTGGGTGTATTTCCAAAGTGCATACAGGGATAGTCGCCGGTTTGTCTACCACTTCATTTATAAAGTTGTCTAAAGGGCCTCTGCGTAGTTGGCTTCAGTCCCTCGAACGCCTCCCAAATGACCAGGAACCTGTGGTCCCGTGATTGGTAAGGACATAAAAATAAATAATAATTTATTTCCATAAATCAAAAGTACACATTACAAACAAAACAAATTACATTACATTAAACATTACAAACAAACAAAAGTACACATTACAAAACAATTTTGAACACTGATACTCAAAGTAAGATTTAACTTGAGTTTTGAGCACCAGGGCCTTTGCAATTCTAATGATTTAATACATTAGATAAAATTTGTGTGAGTTTGCATGAAAGTGTTTAAAATAGGATGCTATTCCTAGGCAAATCAAATTTAAAGTTGTTTCTATATTATTAGCTTTAGAAAGTAGTTATAACACGCAAGCGCAATGTGGCACCGCGGCCTTGGCCCAGAGCAGGAGAAGAAACGGGGGCTTTAGTCAGTAAGAGTCTGACACTCTTTCTCGCCTTACCCTGGGCGGGAGAAGCCATTTGATGATTTTCCCCTGACAAAAAGAAAAGCTTCTGCCTTTTACTTCACCGACACGCACAGAATAAGAAGTTTCGTTTTTCCTTCTGTCAACTTCTTCTCTTTTCATATTATTTTTATGTATTAATTTCCATATACCACAAAAATCTACCAAACTAAATAAACTATTATAAAATATGATACAGAAAAAAATTAAAAAGATCTATTTGTTAATAGAAATTAATAAATCAAAAAATTTGGACATTTATATGTCAGAATAGGTTATACGACTAATTTTACACGATTATTGTTATTGTTTTTTTTTTTTTAAATTCGAGTGACGTTTTTGGATATTGTGATAATCTAACTACCAGAAGAAGGCAGGGTAGATAAAATAATAATTCATAATGCACAAAGATAAAAATATGTCTATCTTGTGTTTTGATCGTTATATTTGACTCGCAATCATTACATATCAAGGTGGAACCACAAGGTAAAAAAAAGTAGGTAAAAATACGATCGATATCAGACATATTTTTCAGGGGAGTCACCTTCCTTCAATGGTCTACTGCTGATCAAAAAGACATTTGCTCATATACATATATCTACATATTTATATATGTATTTAATATGTTAGATGGTTTCGGAGTAAATGTAAATTACACACAATTTGATTGATCTATAAGTATAAATGTTTATTCTTAGTACAATTAAAACATTTAAATTAATTAAGATGAAATATTATTGACTTAGAGTGAATTCTAAAGGGCCAGCGTAAAAAAATAATTAAGTTCGGGTGACGTATGATTAAGTTAAAGTCACAGAGTACTGTCTCCCGACTGGAATAAAAATTGCTTGTCCTTTCCTCTAGACATCTTATTTTTTTTTTCAATTTTTAGTCATTTTTAAACATAATAATATGTTTTGTTTTTCACTGCTCGGCTCCATTTTATCGTAGCGTGATGTTTTATAGCATATAGCACTCAGGAACATTGTAGCTATCTATCAGTGAAAGAATTTTGGCAATCCGACCAGCGGTCCCAAAGATTACCTCCTACATACAAACTTACAAAGATACATACTTACAAATTTTACCTCTTTATAATATTAGTATAGATTTATCCACTAACGCTATCTATTGGCACGAAAAAGAAAGATGCGTACTCGTCGAAGAAATAAATCAATATCGTAATAAAAATGTGTTTTTCTTGGAAAATTAAATGACTTAAAAAGAAACCTAATGGGATATATTATTGTAATCTACTCTTCCAACTCCATATTATTATCAAAAACACACGCTGCCTTGATAGTAAATAGTCTGATAGTAAATAGTAATAATTACATATAATGTACAACATCTACAACTGACAAAAGCATTATAATAAATGGGTATTATAATAATACTTAATATGGGCCTGCGCTGTTATGGCTGCAATTCGTAAGAAAGGGCTTTCGAATTGATCAATTTTTTCAATCAGGCGCACTTGCATATGCTGTATTCGTATAAAACCGCTGTATTGTACCAGTCATGGATCTTATATTATTATGGGAATCGACTCTATAATTAAATACATCCATACTGATGTTTGGTGAGAAGAAGCAGAAGCTATTATTCATAGCTACCTTCAACATCTTCCTTTATTTTTACCAATCCGATGATCATTTGTAAAAGTTGGGTATCTTGTCATATTACAATCAGATGTACTTTATTATTATAATAAGCATTTTTTTGTGTTATAAAACGTTGCTGACACTAGGATTTTCTCCTGTGTCGTGGGTGCGTTTACAAATATACAATTTCACAATCACATCACACCCACAGCCGGAGGAATACTCGTAACAATTTGTGGATCGCACAAAGAGTTGTTGTGTGCGGGATTTGAATCTGCTACACGTTGCGCGGCAGCCTTACCCAGCCACCGCGCCAACCATGCAGTCAAATAATTTAAGCTCAATATTAATAAAAATATCAGGATCCCAAACTTTAAAAAACTTTTAGATTACCCCATTTTATGTTCTACTTTCTCGATTTGAAGAATGTGGAGGAAATCAAAAAGCAAGCAAAAGCCACAATTTAATCAAAATTATTGTTTATTGATGCGAAACTTAAATACAGATCCTACGTTATTTAAATAAAAAATTGAAATGTGTAACAATTTAATCCAAATATTAATCGTACATTAATTTGAACAGTATGTGGAACGACCAAACAAATATAAGTGTGAAGTTATTTTTTATACAGTTTTAACATAATATAGGCATGACATGATATTTACACTCCGAAAATTCTTCGTGTGTTTGTTGTAGCTTTTACACCCATTTCGTTAATAGGGCCATGTTCCGCTCGTGTTGACACGGTATTTTTTAGAACTGGAAAAAAAACATATGAGTTATAACAAATAAATCGGCAACTGTCGATTTGCCTGTTTCTGTTTTTCACGTAAATTCACAGACCAACGTAGTTGTTACTTAGAGCAATAAAATTTTAGTCTGCTCTTTGCATTAAAAAAATATTTAACACTAGCCTTTGCCATTCTGTTATTGTTCTTACATTTAAATTCCAAGCTTATGCTTCTTGGACTCACACATAAACATATGTATAGGTAAATAAGAAAGTACGCACCCTGTTTTGGAAAGTGCTAGGCCTCCCATGTGCAAGGGGTCTCCTCTACACCTGTTGAGGGTATTTTGCAAGTCTGAGCTGCATGGGTATCCAAGAAGTCCACTGTTGCTCATAGATGCGGCAAAGACTTCATAGGCACGGTTATGGTTGCAGACGTGCCCAATGCAGCCTGGTTGGTTGCTGCCACCGTTGACGAAGAAGTTAATGTCACCGATTGCTGTTCCGATACCATTTGACCCTGGTCCTGTGATATCTGTGTGGATAACTTCAACATACATAGCGTCAGTGTCTGCTAATCTTCCGGAATCGCTTCCCCACCTACTAGCAGCTGGGTCCAAACCTAAAACGATAATAATTACATTATACTGTTTATACTATATATATTGCCAGTCGTTCAGTAAATTTAAAAAACTTAAAATTACCAGTGATTCTTCCAATTCTGCCCAACCCTTGATCTAATCTTCGACCAGCTTGACCAACAATATGAGCTCCAAGATTGAAACCAACTAAATGTAATGTGCTTCTGATCAATCTAGCTTCAGTTTCCAGCCAGGTTATAAAATTGGCCAAATGATCAGCAACCAGTGGCACAGCCTTTCTAGCGTCAGAATATCCTTGACCAGCTTCCCTGGCCCAGTCAACAACGATGACGTTGTGAGGTTCTTGATGATATAAAATAGCTGAAAAGAAAAATGGGGATCAGATAAGTTTTAAATTCGAAATATTATTATGGATTTCGAAGATTGGTGTGATTAATCACAGAATCACCCATGAGTTACAGAAGGAGAAAAAGTTCTTTTTCTAACGATTGGTTTAGCCAGTTTGGAGACCAAAGTGTGTAAAATAATATTTACTACCCAATATAGTGTAAACTTAGGGCCTGTTTCACAATTTCCATTGGCCTTCTTTCATTTCTGGCATTTGACTGGTATCAACAAACACTACGTTGGTCTTATGCCTAGAAATTATGCAACACATAAGTGTCTATCATATAAATTAAAATATAAAAATTGTCTACCGATATGAAGGTAGTAAAGTATGTTAACAAAATTAAATATTAGGAAGTTTTATCATTTTCTTAATTCGGTCATTAATATATTATGAAATAGCTTAATGTGTATGAAATTATGTAACAAGCTCGCCATCTTTGACCAGCGTGTTAAAACTAGAGTGCAAATGGCCTTGGTGTCCATGAACAGGAATACACCATACTTAAACGAAGGCTCCAGCCATCATTTAAGTAACAAGTAATAGGAGCTCAAACAAATAACGTACCATCTTTGATCAAGTTGTCGAAATTGGAGTTCAAGTGGCCTTGGTGTCCGTGGACAAGAATAACGGTATTGTCCGTTATTTTGAAATTAGAGTATCTTGAAAAAGGCGCCGCTGGGTCCAAAATCTCAGGCTCATATTGATTTTCCCTTGTAAAAATAAAACATTTTAATCAGTGATATTTGTCAAATTGTTAGATGGAATGATAGATATAATTGTTAATACTTACAGCGTGTACAAGTAATATTTGTTAGAAACTCCATCCTCTGCGTGGATTACTGAAAATTGTTAGGGTAAAATTATTTTCCATCTGGATATTATATTTGTAGTGAGAATTGTAATGACAGAAGGAAAAACCCCATCGTTACTCTTTATTTTGTTCATATATACCTAATATAAGAACTATGCAGATGACAAATTATTTAAAAAGTGATGGGATCAGTCCCTTACAATATTTGAAGTACTCTATCCTCTCAAACAGAACGATCAGATACGAATACTAACAATCTGAATAATGCTTCTACTTAGGACATCAGTTTGAGCGTGGTTTGAGTAATTAAAAAAAATGATGTCATAATAGAATTTGACTAAATTGTTACTGACTGTATTTGAGTATTGTCCAGTGGGGTCGAATCTACAAGCCACCAAGCATTCTTAGCCTCGATATAATATGGCAGTTTATAGTATGTACCTATATTTAAACAATTTGCGTTTTATACGAGTCATTTTTAATTTATGCAACAAAGTTAGGTTAGGTTAGGTTAGTCTGATTTAAATATTTTACAAAGAGGAATCAACTCTGTTATTCAATATTTTTTTCTAATGTCTGGAGCAAAATGTCAATCTCACCTGCCAATGCAGCAAGAACGATAGCTAGTTTTAACATCTTCGTTGATTCTTGCCAAACTGATTTCCACTTGTTAAATCCCTGGTTTTTATTGTAATATTCCAATCAGATATTAATTATTATTACGCAATAATTAAAGTTCGATTTGCCTTAGAATAAAAAATCAAAATGTTATCAGAATGAGATCAGTAGATTGATAGTAAAAGATTTTCAATACTGATCTTGTAATTAAGTATAATTTTCCTCAATTGTATGAAGCCATTCTTGTTGTTCACACAGTTGTAGTATACACGTAGCAACCAAAATAATAATTTATCTAGCTAAGTCTGATAATTGACTAGGTATTTCAAAGAATAAACAAACCGCTGCTCGATTCGGAGCAGAAGAAATATCGAGGTGGATTTTAGTCAAGAATCTTGCACCTGCTCCACTCAAGGATTTTTATATTTATCAATAAAAAAGAAGATACATAATACGCTACATCTTATTTATTTGTGAGGAAATAAAACTCTCTTTTTGTGAGGGGAAATCATCTAATGACTTATTCCTCCCAGAGTGGGGTGGGAGGGAGTGCCAGACTCTTACTGATTAAAAACCCCCCATTCCGAGGCCTTGCCCCGCAACTCGGGCTGAACGTTAGCCCTATAGGGTCCTGTTTGTAGCTCTTTGAGGCACGTACGGAACTCAATGCGCCATCTGCTCGGATCTGGTTCTGGTCGCGCGCCGATTTACCATTACTGGCCGTCCGCAGAACCGCGTTTACAATAGTTGGAGATCATCTCTCGATCCCCGACGCCCGGAGTGTTGTCTACTGCGGCGGCTGGGAAGTGAGGAATCCTTCTTATTACGCGCTCCGCCTCCTTTTTTGCTAGCGTAACTGCTTCGCAGAAAAAGGAGACGGCTTCCCAGTTCCTCTCGTTCTTAAGGACAATAGATAATCCAGAGCATTCAAATCCCAATTGAAGGTGCCCGTTCACAAATATGCATCGTACACTAGCATCGTCCAAATCAATCTTCTTGTACGGGATTGAGCGAATCAGCGTTCGTGCCACCGCCAATAAGACCTTTAAGCCAGCGTAACAACCCCAAGCTGATATAGTACCGACATTCTGCTACTCTAACCAATTATATTAGGTTACAGTGCACTCACATTTACCCAATTTTCGAGTTTGACAACATAAATGGCATAGTGGTAATTTTACTAAATTTGAGTAATCGTTCAGCTTGGATTATGCTTGTCTACATAAAGTTTTATTTATACGTAAAAAAGTAATTTTTGTATCTTGCGTAGGATTTTATTATAACATTTAACACAAAATCCCATGTACTTGTGTACCTTTGCCAATCTAAATAATGGGTAACATAATCCATCTCTATGTCTATTATGATAATTTGGTGACGGTATGGGTGGTATCAAACCGTTGCTCCACACCAGGATTTTCTCCTGTGTCGTGGGTACGTTTACAAACATACAATTTTACATACTTTACACCCAGACCCGGAAAAATAATTTGTGGATCACACAAAGAGTCGTTCCGTGTTGGAACTGAACCTGCGATACGTTCCGCGGCAGGCAGCATTCCCAGCCACCGCGCCAATCGTGCAGTCAAGGGTAATATACCTGTCTGACACCTTAGCAAATATTCGTTAGTTTTTCCAAGCATACATAATGTTTTCATAAATGAACTGACATGGCACAGCCATGATATTGATCTCTAAACTTTTCTCTATGAGATTTGCGACGACTTAAGTTGTAAATAGCTCTGCCAGCACGCTTTGGCAAGATAAAGATAAGACTCAAAGTCAGTAGCTTGTTTCCACAAAAAATGCCAGACGACATAATGCTATAAAAGTAGCCGAAGTACACTAGTCTTGCAGTGTCCACATCTTTTAGGTGTCATGCTATCTTCCAGACAGCAAAAATTTGCTGTAGAGCTCTATCTTTCTGTCAGGGATATAATATAGGACCAAATATTGAGCCCTGTGAGACGCCCATAGATATGCTAGCACCCAGCGAGTTCACTTTATTACACACATTTTTAACTCTTGTATAAATGTAAAACTTGGTAATTATACGTATATTAGGTGACTAGCTAACTAACATGAGTATTGTTAATATTGTGGCGCAATCGAACGTTAAATGATGGGATTTAAAAGAGGCTGATGGAACCTTACATTGCCCTAGGCACTAGTAGACACTTTGGTAAAGTTTGGGTTGGGCTCATTAGATATGTAATTATTTATAATGATTAGGTGCTTCTGGTTTTTGCAGCTGTGAATTTCATTTAAAGAAAAGAAATAAATTGTAACTTGTTTTCCATTTGTCACAAAACTTCATAATTATCACTAGCACCCATTTCTTTAGGGGCTTAGTTAGAATTAACGATATTTGATTTCACATAATTATATAAGAAAATAAAAGGTAAGTACTCTCATCACATAAATTAAAAATTAAAGATAGGCAAAGTTTAGGAAATAAAAGAAGTTTTAAAATAGCAACGTTTAATCAATATTCATCCAATTAATTACAGCATTCAAGTCTTCAGAATGATCTAACAAATCAAAAGTGTTATTTTATTACATTTCGTTTTTTTTTGTAATTAAAATCATACATATATCCTGTTTTCAGATGGCAAAGTTCACCCGTTGTTCAATGTAGTTTTTAAATCGATTGCTTAATAGGGCCATGTTCCACTTGTATTGACACGGTATTTCTTGGAACTGAAGAAGAAAAACATGAGGTTAAATTAATTTATAAATATAAATAAATACGCCTCTCGCGCCCGGCCTTAATCGAAGCCATGGTGCGGAGTGAGAAGAACTGGGACGCCGTCTCCTCATTCTTTGAAGCAGTTTTGCTCGCAAAGAGGGTGGAGGGAGAGGTGGTCCGCGTGCGGCAATCCTCCTCCTCATGCCCCAGCCGCCGCAGCAGGCGACACTCCAGGCGCCGGGGATCAAGAGACAATCTCCAGCCACCCTAAGCGCGGGTCTGCGGACGGCGAGTAAGGGTAGCTCACCGCCCGACTAGAACCCGACCCGAGTGTACGGCGCATAGCGTTCCGCGCCTTAAACAGCCAATAGACCACCACAGACGGGGCCCTATAGGGCTAATGTTTAGCCGGGGTTGCGGGGTAAGCGCCATAAGGCACCGCAACCTCGGCCTAAAGCAGAAGGAACGGGGGGGTTTTTAGTCAATAACAGGCTAACACTGCCTCCCTCCCGACCCTGGGCGGGAGAAGTCATTTGATGATTTGATTGATGACTTATAAACTGTTGTTTGCGAACAAATGATATAAGTATATTATATAATTTTATTCTTGTTCTAAGCATCTAAAATGCTTATTATCGCAAAATATTGTTGTTTTAGGTATTTTAAAAATACATACCCTGTCTTGGAAAGAACTAAACCTCCCATGTGCAACGGATCTCCTTTACACCTGTTGAGGGTATTTTGCAAGTCTGAACTGCATGGGTATCCAACGAGTTCACTGTTGCTCATAGATGCGGCAAAGACCTCGTAGGCGCGGTTATGGTTGCAGACGTGCCCAAAGCATCCTGGTTGGTTCCTACCGCCGTTGACGAAGAAGTTAATATCACCAATTGCTGTTCCGATGCCATTTGACCCTGGTCCTGTAATATCTGTGTGGATAACTTCAACATACATAGCATCAGTGTCTGCTAATCTTCCTGAATCGCTTCCCCATCTACTAGCAGCAGGGTCCAAACCTAAAAAGATATAGTTATTATAGGTACAGATATAGTTATTATATTGTATTGTGTATATTATGATGTGTATGTATGTATATTTTATGATTGAGTAATTTTAGAACATGTGAGCGTCGTAGAGTCATGCTTCGGCACGAATAAACTGGCTTGACTGGCTGAGGTTACCGTAGACCCAATCATACCCCCAACCTCAATTCCCATATTCCCTTTTCTTAAATCCCTATCAACGAAATTCAACGAAAGTCCATTGGTGGCACCGATTGCCTATCATCATGTTATCCGTTTATACGTTGGCGATTTATCCCATAGTAAAAACTTAAACCTACCAGTGATTCTTCCAACTCTGCCCAATCCTTGGTCTAATCTACGACCAGCTTGACCGACAATGTGAGCTCCAAGATTGAAACCAACTAAATGTAATGTGCTTCTGATCAATCTAGCTTCAGTTTCTAGCCAGTTTACGAAATTGGCTAAGTGGTAAGCGACCAGTGGAACAGCCTGTCTTGCAGCAGTATATCCTTGACCGGCCTCCTCACTCCAGTCAACCACGATAACGTTATGTGGTTCTTGGTGGTACAAAATAGCTGAAACAAATTTTTTAATTAAAATGTATCTATCCATTTCACGTTACCACAGAGTTACTTATGTAAAGCAGGAAGAGTTAACATTATTTGCAAACAATTTGTTTAACCCGCTTTGAGATCAAAGTGTACGATATTTATATTCAAATGTTATTTTATTACTACTATCGTATTTTTTTTTAACTTGCAATGTATGTGCCTATATATTTTTATCTTTATTGTATCTTTCTTTTTTTTTGTATCTTTGTTTTTTTTGTATCTTTATTTATATTTTCTTGTATCTTTATTGTAAAGCAGATATTTTCAACCAATTTAGTTGAATTCAAAATGCTAAGTTGGAACTACTTAGCCCCTGGACTAGTTGGACCACCTCATAAAAGCTTGTTTGAAAATATAAATAAAAAACATATCATTCATTTAATTTTCTATATTTACATTACATAAATTGTATATTAGTAATATTAAAAATAAATTGTTTTTACCCGACTGCCAAAGAAGGAGGGTAATGTTTTTCGAGTGTATGTAAGTATGTATGTATGTCTTTTCCTTTGTGACCTCCTGTAGCCTAAACGGCTTGATGGATTTTGATGTATGAGGTATCGTTAGATTTGTCTTGATTACGGGAGTGTCATAGGATACATTTTATCCTAAAAGTCCCACGGGATAAAGACATAATAATATTTTTTAAATTTCCCTTTAAAAAAATATGTATGCGGTATCATTAGATTCATTTCAATCACGGGAGTAATTAATATAGGATACGTTTTTTCTCAAAATTCCCACGGGAACATGTTAATTCTGCGAAAGCCAAATGTCGTCGAAATAATTTAAAATGGTACTTACATATACATAGTCTTCTACATCTACAACATTTTCGTTAAATAAAAACAGCTAAAAAGTTATAAATAAAAAAATTATTATTAAAAAACAAAATACCCGACTGCACACTAAAAAAAGAGTAAAACAAGCCCCACAATACAAATTTACTGAATATAATTTATAAATGTTGATGGAAAGCATCGCAGGCGGGGACCACCTTGACCGCCACCAACGAAAATTCTGCTAAATGGTGCACAACAGAAATGACTATAAATAAGCCTCTGTTGGTCCCCGCCTGCGATGCTTTCCATCAACATTTATAAATTATATTCAGTAAATTTGTATTGTGGGGCTTGTTTTACTCTTTTTTTAGTGTGCAGTCGGGTATTTTGTTTGTTATTTGATGGGGTAAATCATGAAATGATTTCTCTCGCCCAAGCTGAGGGGAGATTGAGTTATTATTGTGACTTCTTAAATGAAGGCTCCAGCTATCATTTAAGTAACAAGTAATAGGAGCTCAAACAAAAAACGTACCATCTTTGATCAAGTTGTCGAAACTGGAGTTCAAGTGGCCTTGGTGTCCGTGGACAAGAATAACGGTATTGTCCGTTATTTTGAAATTTGAATATCTTGAAAAAGGCACCGTGGGGTCCAAGATTTCAGGCTCATATTGATTTTCCCTTGAAAAAAGAAGATTTTGGTGAAATGTTTAATAACCTATTCAATATGAATATAATTTTTTTTATTGATTTATATAGGTACTTACAACGTGTATAGGTAATAGGTGTTCGATGCTACATCCTCTGCGCGGACCACTGTAAAATGTAATTATAAATTTGAAGTTATTTTGAGAATTAAACTTGTTTATATAGTCGTGGATAGCAAACTGAAGTGGCAGTGGGCAGGTCATATTTGTTGAAGAACTCATGAACGTTGGTGTAGTCGTGTTCCTAATTTAAGTCCACATTTAGCAACAATCGTATAGGGCGCTCTCCAACTAGGTAAGCGATGGCTGATGAAATCCGTAAGGCTGCTGGCCGTGGTTGGATGAGAAGAGCTAAATATTGGGCTCAGTTATGGTCAATTGCAGGGGCCTGTGTCCAACAGTGGACAGTGAAAGTCTGAAGGTAATGAAAGTTATTTTCAACCAGGATACATTTTAGTCACTTGTAATTATTATATATTTCTTTCTTTAAAAAAAAAAATTTTCTTTACTGCCAAAGAAGCTAGGACGAGGGCTAGTTTCAACATCTTCGTGGATCATTACAAAACTAATTGTGATTTGCAAAATCACTGGTTTATATTATCATATTTCAATCAGATAGTAAACGATTGATTTAAGAACAAAGATAAAAACATTATCGGTATAAAGATTTGAGTGCCGATCTTTGCTTTATAAGTAGTTTTTTCCTTATTTGTACAAGTAAAGGGTACCTAATTTTTTTCACCTGTACCTATCATATTTAATATGTATAGACGCATGAAATAGTAAAAGTAAAAATATTTTAGATTTGCTTAAGTTTACATTCCCTTTTCACATACACATTACATCCAGACCAGAAATAGGGTACTTTATGCATTTTTTTAAATGAAACTTAAATAAATTCTTTGATCCTTATCTCTTATTATGAGATTGGTTTATTTCTTTGACGAGTACGTAGGTACTTGCGCAACTTTACTTCTTCGTAATAGATGAAGTTAGTGGACAAAGGTTACTTATATTTTTTTTATTTCAATACTAGCTTCTCCCTGCGACCGAGTGAAATAGTGACTTCTGGTAAGAAAGAAAGAAAGAAAAAACATTTATTGACACAACACAAGACATACATATAATAATAAAAAGTACAAAAAAAAAAACAGATAGTAGGTTGTGCCAAATAGCATCCAGTTCAGCATTATGCCAGACAGCTAGTGCCTGACGCTGGTTTTCAACTGGACCTATGAGGAGTTGCGGGTGTCAAACGATATGAAATAATTTATGCTTTATGGAATTAAAAAATAAAAATAATAAACTAATTACTGACAAAAAAATTGATAATAAATATGGGTTAGGGATTAGACACAAAATATTAAAAAAAAAAAAAAAAATGGAGGTAAACAAAAATTAACCCATACCGTGACAAATCGCAATCTGCAAAGGCACCGCTCGTCGACAATTTTTTTTTTCTTTCCTTTAAAGTACCCACCCATACGTAATCGACGATCGCGATACGCAGTGCACACATTCATCTGTGCTATAACAAAGTGTAGTACAAAACAATAAAAGTGCAAAAAAGCAAAATATAAAATTGTGACTTGTGCATGCATATAAACTTGTAAAATACAATTTTGATACAGCCGTTTTAGTGGTCCGCATTGAGTGAGTATATTTACAGTGATTGTAACGGTAGGTAGGTAGTTTCCGTAAACGTATAATACGCTCATATCAGAAAACTGAAAACTTAAGCTGACCCCAACATAGTTGGGAGGCTCTGAGGATGAGGATGATGATCAGAAGACAAAATAGTAAACTGAGTGGGCGACAAATGAAATAAAAATTTAGAACCATTTCTTTTAGATATAAATTAAATAGATTAAATAATAGAAATGTTAGCCTTAGTCATATCAAGCTTCCGTTGCGCATCTACCAAGTACTGCCGTAAACGTCTTCTAAAACTATCGACTGTGTTCATAACCCTAATAGGTGGCGGAATATTGTTCCATACTTTCGCTGCTGCATATCGGAAACTTCCTCTAAACGCCGTGGTTCTATGTGGCTGGATGCAAAGTTGTTTCGAGCATTGTCTTCTAGAGCATGTACGGCTGTCATTTATCCAACTCAGCTTACCAAATAAGTAAGCTGGCTGTTGGTACTTAATGACACCAAAGAGAAGACATGCTAAATGCAGCTTACGTCTTGATTTCATTTTGAGCATGGCGTTTTTGTTGAGGAATGGCGTGACATGACCTCTTGGGGGAATCTTGTAACAGAAGCGCGCACAGGCATTTTGCACTCTCTGTATGAGTCGCTCGGTGCGAGCTAATAGACGCGGCCCGTAGACTGTATCGACGTAGTTTAATTTAGACAGAACAAGCGACTCGACGAGTTGTTCGCGAATCGTCTCTGACAGAAAAGGTCTGATTTTATACAGAATTTTCAGACGATAGAAGCAGTTCTGTACCGAAGTAGCCACTTGCTTTTCGAATCGCAAACTACTGTCCATATTTAAACCAAGACTACGCGCCTCGTCTACTCGCTCAATGGGTTCACCCATCAGTTGAAGATTGAGTGTTGGAGGAAGTCTCTTCAACTGCTGCTTTGTGCCAAATACCACATATTTTGTTTTGGCCGGATTAAGAGCCAAACAATTTTCCTTTGACCAGACGGCTATTCTGTGAAGGTCTTCATTTAGGTCAGTTATAGATGTTTTATAGTCATCTGGTTCAAAAGACAGGTATAACTGTACATCGTCAGCATAAATGTGGTATTTACATTTTCGGAGGCAGCTTACAATATCGGCGCAGTACAGTATGAAAAGAACAGGACCCAATATAGATCCCTGTGGCACCCCTTTATCGACCAAAGTAAGTGCTGATGTTACAGTGCTTCCGTCGCTTTTGCTAAGTTGTACTTGCTGCCTCCTGTTGGTGAGGTAGCTTTCAAACCATTTTGTGGCAGCGTCATCAAACCCGTAGAATTTTAGTTTTGAGAGAAGCAGCGAAACGTTTATTGAATCAAATGCCCGGGAGAAGTCCAATAGAACCAATACCGTACACATACCCTTATCTTGAGCGGCTAGAATATTGTCCGTTACATCCAATAAAGCTGTTGCTGTACCGCGTTGTTTACGAAAACCGGACTGTAAATCAGGTAAAATGTGATTGGCTTCTAAAAAATTTGTTAGTTGCCGACAAACTACTTTTTCCAGAACTTTAGACAAACAGGGCAATATACTGATGGGCCGTAAATCTTTAACATCAACTGGGTTTGTATTCTTGGGTAGGGGCTTAACGAGGGCAATTTTCCATAGATCAGGGAAGGTAGAAGATGAGATGGAAGAGTTTATGATGTGAGTTATGGTTGATAATGTTTGTGGAAGCGTTAAATTCAACATCGTTAAGGTTACATTATCATGACCTTCAGCGTTCGACTTTAGCTTACGTATTATACGTGAGATTTCAAGCTCTGAAACCGGACACAAGGTGAAAATGGCTTCACTGTACCTATTAGTTCTATAAAATACAAGTTTTTGAGCACTAGCCACTGGATCACCAGGAACACTTAAAAAATGACGATTTATACTGTCTGGGTTATTTAAATGAGATGGAAGGTCTTGTCTCTCTTTAGCCGTCGAAACTGTAGATTTTAGATTCTTCCACAATAAAGTTGGATTATTAATTTTATTATTTAAATTATATTTAAAATATGCCACCTTTTCGCTCCACAAAGAACTTACTACCAACGACTTTAACTGTTTGTAGTAATCCTTTTTTGTTTGTGACTTATTGACTCTATAGTTGGCTAAAGCTTGGTCCCGCAGCCTCATCATTAATTTAATATTTTCTGTAATCCAGGGGTATGGGACTGATGATTTTTTGTTATACCCAAATACTTCCCGGTCTCGTAGGGCTTTTGGGAAGTTCTTCTTTTAAATTCCTGGAATAAAAACTATCCTAACTAAGCCCTTTCTCAAGTTTTAAACTATGTCTGTACCAAATTTTATCCAAATCGGTTCAGTAGTTTAGATGCGAAGGAGAGATAGACAGACAGACTTACTTTTGCATTTATAGCTTTGAATTTAAATAAAATTAACACAGAATTTTGAGGAAAGCTTACTCAACGTGTCGTGGTGGCCCGGAGGTTAAGGAGCCCGCTTGTCATGCATGAGGGTGTGGGTTCGAAACCTGGCAAGTACCAATGTGCCTTTTTTAGAGTTGTATGTACTTTCTATGATTATTCAGACACCACTGATATACGGTGAAGGTAAACATCGTGAGGAAACCTGGACTTATAGGTAATTTCTAATTATAAGTTTGAAATCGCCAACCCGCATTGAGCAAGCGTGGTGATTAATGCTCAAGCCTTCTCCGTTTGAGAAGAGGCCTTTGCTCAGCAGCGGGCATTTATAGGCTGATGATGAATCGTCAAATGACTTCTCCCGTCCAGCGTCAGGCGAGAGAGAGGGAGTGTCAAACTCTTACTGACTTAAAACCCCCGGTTTGGGGCTTCTCTTGCTTTAGGCCGTGCCGCATCATCACCATCATCGCAACTTTTATTGCAGCCGGAGGACAGTTCTCTGTGACATTACTTAATCATACGTTCCCGAACGCATTAAAACTCCTTTCCTCTTGACAACTTTTTTTTTACTTTTAAGTTCATTTTTAAACATGGCAGATGTGTTTTATATTTTTTTTTTATTAATATTAATTATTTGGTCATAGCGTCATTACGTGGGTAAACTGCAGCTGTCAGTAATACATAAGAGTATTTGACAGCTGACACTTTTGTTTACTATCGTAATGATGTCATTAGCGTGGCGGCGACATTTCGTAGTGTTCAAACACAGATTAAAAACCTAAAAAGTTTAAACTGCAATATAAAAGTTATTAAAGTACCTATCTTATGAAGCGAAACTAACCTAACGTTACCGATCGCTTTTCCTCTAAACAATCATTTTATTACACTTTAAATTTTTTTTCAATCTAGACTAAAATATAATTCCTATTATAATAATAATAATACATGGATACAATACAAATAATTCCACGAATGATAACCTTAAAAAAAATTCTTACTAGAACTCACTAAATTTTTGGTGGAAGTTTACATACTTTCATATTTTATTTTTATTTTTTCTATATTTAAAGTTACTGGGAACAAAAATTTTACTACTTTTGTAAGTGTCTCTCAAGGGAACCAAAGGGATTTTTTTTTTCTAAATTATATTTAAAAAATAAGCCTTTTCATCATTTTTGAACACCTATCCGTATAGATAACCTACAGGTATAAATATGATGTACGTGCAATACCCAAAATTATCTTTTTGCCCTAATTCTTGAAACCTGTAGATGTAAAAAGGTCGAACAAATAAAAGAACTAAATTGAATGCATTGAATAGTATAATCAGGTCATATTTAAATAAATATAATTCAGTATCAATGTTGTAGATTCTCAAAAGGGCCATCTTCTGCTAGTGTTCACGCGGTATTTTTTAGATCTGAAACAGGAAAAAAAAATTATAACTCTTTAAGTTCATACTGTCCAAATGAATTAAATATACAATAAGTTTCTGTTCAAGATAAACAATAAGTTTGCAGAAATTATTTCATGAGCCATTACCATGGTCCATACATCACATCATTAGCCTATAAGTACTAACTATAGTCAAGTTGTGAGCTTGAGCATTATTCACGAATGTGTCATCAATAATTAGTTAGAAATTACTTACATATGTGTCTTGAGACACATAAGTAATTTATCTAATTATTAGAAATTATAAGTCAAGGTTTTCTTACAATGTTTTTCTTCACTGTTTGGACAGTGGTGACTTAGCTAGCTAGAGATAGCTCGGAAAATATCACATTAATGCATGCCATAAGATTGCATAACACTAGTAAAATACATACCCAGTCTTAGAAAGAAGTAAGCCACCCATGTGCAATGGGTCTCCGTTGCATCTGTTTAGGGTATTTTGCAAGTCGGAGCTACATGGGTATCCGACAAGTCCACTGTTGACCATAGATGCCGCAAACACTTCAAAGGCACGGTTGTGGCTGCAGATATGGGTGAAGCAGCCAGGTTGGTTGCTACCACCGTTGACGAAGAAGTTGATATCACCAATAGGAGTACCGATACCATTAGCAGTAGGTCCTGTGATATCTGTATGAATAACTTCAACATACATGGCATCAGTGTCTGCTAATCTTCCGGAATTGGTGCCCCATCGACTCGCAGATGGGTCCAAACCTAAAAAAGAAGACCAAAATATTTATTTTAGGATATCAAGAGGAATTTATTTTAATTCAATTTGAATGAAAAGGACATAAGTTATTACCAGTGATTCTGCCAATTCTGCCAAATCCTTGATCCAGTCGTCGACCAGCCTGGCCTACAATGTGAGCTCCAAGGTCGAAACCGACCAAATGTAATGTGCTTCTGATCAATCTGGCTTCATATTCCAACCAAGTGATGAAATTTGCCAAATGTTCAGCTACTAGTGGTACAGCCTGCCTTGCAGAAGAATATCCTTGATTGGCCTCTCTGCTCCAGTCAACTACGATAACGTTGTGTGGTTTTTGATGCTCTAGGATTGCTAAAAATGAATAGGTCACGGTAAATCACGTTGGTTCTGATTAAAAATAGTAGTCTCTTTTGAAAAGTTTCGGGTGTTATAAGCAGTCATTACATTGAAAAAAATGAGCTATTGGCAGATTCGATATTAGTAAATGCTAAATATGCATAGTAAATTTTGAAAGGTTTTGCTTCAAGCTTCGATTTATTTTAATTTACTAAAGGAATTTGTAATATTGCATATGCATTAGTATTTTTCACTTATACGTTTTTTTCATAAACCTTACCATTCTTAATAAGATTATTGAAGTCATTGTTAGCGCTTCCATGGTGGCCATGAACTAGAATGACAGTGTTGTCCGTTATTTTGAAATTAGAGTATCTTGAAAGTGGTGCACTGGGGTCCATAACCTCAGGGTCATGCTGATTTTCCCTTTAAAGAAATTAACATTTAGATTGACACCTCTGATTTTACGACAACATTTGTAACTATCATTAAATATAGGTATATTATTTACTTACAATGTGTATAATAAATAAGTGTTTGATGCAGTTGCTGAGCAGCTTACTGAAAATAAGAATGAAAGTATTAAGTTATCGCTTGTTCACAACAAAAAAATAATAATATACGAGTTAAATGAATTTAATGTTATTATTATAATCATGTTATTTTTTTCGCTATGGCCATTTGGCCGCTTTCACGCCTGGTAAGTGATGATGCGACCTTAGGTTGAGCAACCTATTCACGTGGGCTTTACAGACATTTAAGTTATACCCTTGACTTTATATGAATTTTGCAGAAGTTAAACAAATTAAGTGTATCTATATCTTGTAGTATCGGGGAGCCAATGGATGCAGGTGGCAACTTGTCGTTCGACGTGGAGAGCTAAGGGGGAGGCCTTTGTCCAGCAGTGGACGTCTTCCGGCTGATGATGATGATGATGATGATACTGATCTTGTAGTAGCCAGGTGTGCGAAAGAAATTGAGGGTAGCGATTACTCCATATTTAAAAGCTAAATTAACAGGTTTTCAAACTAATGTCTTCCACACTCAATGTTGAAAATTTCGATCCCGTCAACCAAAACCGACACTCTTTTCTCGGTAGTTTTATCAATCTCTTGTTCAGTAGCCGAGCTTCAGAATCGTTAAATTTAGAAGTTCTTCTGATGCAAATATAATCTTACCTGCCAATGTGGCCAAAACAAAGGCTAGTTTGAACATCTTGCTTGATCACCTGTTCCCAAACTGATGATGTTTGAAGGAATGATTTGGTTTTTATTCTCAGCTTCCTATCAGATAAGCAGTGTAAGTGACGATAAATAGAAGCTCTTACTTAGTACATTTGAGGTACATTCTTATCAGCGGTTCATTGATTAATTGTTTGTCAGAAAATTTTATTTATATGTTTTTCCTTGTTTATATAAATATAAATTTAAAAATGTAAATTGTTCTCGTTTATTAAGAATGAATGAATATTAGGTAACATGTTGATTGGATACAATCAATCTAATCAAATCAATCAGTTACAATATTTAACGTCATTACTAGGTAATAATAATGAAAATAAAAATAATTACAGAATTAATTTTTAAGGCATTTAAATAACACGCCTTTTTTCAAATAAATACTATGACTTCTGAATTGGTCCTGATGTTTGTTCTTAAAGTCTTAATTTAAGGGATCTGAATTGAACCAATTAAAAATATATAAAAAAGCATTTAAATTACAAAGAAAACAGTTAAAATAATTCTCTTTAAAAATATAGGTCCTGGTTATATTAGGAAATCGGCAAAAAACATTCAAATATAACGAAAAGGAAAACGTTTAATTTGTAACTTATCTATTTGTAAATCACGGAACAGATTATTATTTTCTATCGTGTGTATCTTAAGATAAAGTCAAGAATTAATAATATTATAAACTTTTTATACTAGTATAATCCCGTAGAGGAAGAATTTAATAAAATTATTAGTCTGTCTAATAAAAAAAAAAATCAACGTCATCATAAAGGTTTTAAATACATTTAATAAACACGTTCAATTGCATTGCAGTGACTGAATAAACAGTTACCGAGCTCTTGTTAGATTTACAAAAACATATTCAATGATATATGTATTTTCCTACATAAACAGACGGAGGTTAGGTAGCTTTTCGAATGTTTCTCAAGAACTATCACCGAGTCTTCAATTATTCTTATATTTTTACTCTCGGCTATAAGCATTATAGTCATGTAGCGTCACTTACAAACAGCATTCGACATTTAACCCAAATATTCAAGCACAAAAACACGGTCTCCCAGCAGTTCACATTCAAGATAAAAGAGTACAAAATATCTGTTCAAAAAGCACCCATTCCTTGTTCACGTTTCCTGGAAAGCCATTATTTATGCTAGCGTGGGCCATTTAATGACTTACCTGTAGCAACAGGCTGTGGTCGAAGCCCTAAAAAGGGTCGCGACCCCCACGCAATTTAGCCTTATGACACCAAAAGGGTGCGTAAGTCGACCCACGGTAATTGCACATAGTGGCGTTAATGTGACATTGCTTCCTTATTGCTATAACTTATAGACATGTTGATGATTTTAGAGATGTAATGGTAAGATGTTAAGTGATGTCTTTCATCTAAAGTAGGGTAGGCAAAAGTAAGAATTACTAGGTATTTTTACTGAGTGGTTGCTAGGAATCACTCAATCAAAATTCGATGATTTATCTATACTAATATTATAAAGAGGTAAAATTTGTAAGTTTTTATGTTTGTAAGTTTGTAAGTTTGTATGTAGGGGGTAATCTTTGCAACCGCACTGATAGATGGCTACAATGCTCCTGAGTGCTATAGTCTATAAAACATCACGCTACGATCAAATGGAGCTGAGCAGCCGGTAAAACCACGTGAGAGTAGCTAGTTGACATAATTATATATCTATCATCTAAGACAAATTTAAAATAGATCAAGTAACCAGTATGGATGGTATTTAGGTACAAATCATATAGTTCAATTGAGGAACAATTTACGAGATCCTTTGTAGGTCAGCTTTCTCAGGATTGACGCATACAGCAAGAAACTTGGCAGTCTCTTGGTCTGTCTCTTCCAAGTGGTATAAGTTATGAGGGCCACTCACTCGCTGACCCAAAATTACTTGGCAGGCAGTGGCATACTGGCATTACTTGGAGACAGTTTCAGTTTAACGAATAAGAATAAATAATTGCATAGACTATATAATATTATGTGTTACTATTATTATTGTAGTTGAATAATAGTAATACAAATACATATTATATATATCGGTCTTATTAATATAGTTCGGTAGTATAAAAACTCGCTTTTTCTGTCCCTATATGCCTATGTATAAATCTTTAAACCTATACAATTTTGAATTTAATGCGTTATTTAAATACACAGAGTTTTTTAATAACTATGTTTTTATTAAAATAAAAGTAAAAAGAATTACTCGTGTTGAATACGTTTATGCTTAATAAAACTCGAAACACTTGAAGTCATTTGGTTGATTTTTATTGTTTTTGTAAAATGTTCAAAAGGTGAAAATTGTGGGATATACATATATAAAAAAAACAATATTATGCTTGAAGATGTGTACAATAAAATATGACTTAAAAAGTATTAATATTATTATTTGATTTTTATTTGAATATCATTTGTGTTCGTTATTATATAAATATATATATAACGAACTATCTACCAAATATCGATTTAATTTCATGACATCTGATTAAGGAAAAATCTAACACAGATATAAATGTAGAACAAAATGAAACAGGTTTTAATTTCAGCTTAACGTAATTTATTTATCTAAAGTAGAACAAAGTTATTTCTTCTTAAAACAAAAGTTATTTCTTCTTAAAAAAAAAATCTTATTGACAAATAAAATTCGATTTAATTCGAAATCTGTTGATTGTGCTGATGTAAATAATCTGATCAGAGTAATTAATCTGTTTTATTGGAATTCTCTGGAGTTCAATAAAAGGGATATCATTATTGTTACGTGCGCCATAGTGAAAGGACGTAGGTTTTTAAAATAGAGATACGTATACGTCACAATATTAAAATTATAATTTGAATCTGATTCGTTTGTAAAATAATTTTCTTAGGTTACATCAAAATAATCAATTAAATAGGTTAAATACATACAATACAAAACACTTTTCATAAATTTTACTATCCGCAATGACAAAAATTATTTGTTCGAAATTTATTACATTGGAAAATTTTGTACTTACATACTTAATTATCTCCATGAAAAATTGGTTATCTGAACTTTCCCTAAACAACAATTTAGTAGGTCTTATAATAATATCTAATGTCGTGTTATGTGATTTTTTTATCCGTGGGTCGTAGATTAATAAGATATTTCATAAAAAAACTAGGTTTTTTTTTTAAATCCCCTAACACGTTAAGGTAAATAGTTACAATGCATTTATTTATTAATGCATCTTTATATAACAATAGCCCACAAAACCATTGTAATTGTAGGGTAAATGAGTGTAATCAAAGCAATTAGATGATAGATATTGTATTTATAAAAGTTAAAATATTTCTTATTAAATTTTATAACTTAAATATATATTATAATTCAAAAGTGACTTTAATTTACGTTTAAACCTGTTTGGATTTGTTTCACTCGATATGTCTGCCGGAAGACTATTCAATAGATAGGGTATTCTTTTTATAATACCAAAATAGTTGGTGACTCTGGGCACATTTAATCTACCAGCAGCCTTAGATCGTGTTATATGGTTGTTATTTAGGTACAATTTATTATTAACATTAGATTAATTTGTATTGCGGTTTTCCTCTGCCGTATAGTCTTAAATTGGATAATAAGAGACTATGGAGTATGTCTAAATTTGTCAAGTACCTCTTTAGACATAATGTTTATCTCAAAACGAACGTCAACAAACTGGAAATTGTAATAATTTTCACAAATCAAATAAGGAGGAATCTTTTATGTTATTGCCAAAAAGATAAAAAACAACCATATCAAGAGAAAGTGTAAAACTTAATGATGATTACACAGTGAATAAAATATTTTTGCATCGGTCAATTGATATTATTTTTATTATAAACTATGAACTTTTGAAGACTTCTTATTATCTTATTCAAAATAAATTAACAACCAAAGAAATGTTTGTAAAATATTTCATAATTTGATTTGGAGTACTGATATAAACAGCGAAACAAAACAAACATACTGAACCATTTATGACGTAAAAGCACTTAAAGTAAACTTATCTTACATTTAAATAAATTCTTCCTCAACTCAAGGAAATTAATTGATTTATAATAATATTTCTAATATCCTCAAGTTAAATTTGTGTCTTATCATTGAGCATTTAATCCTAGCTTAGCGTTGATATTCTAGGAATACCACAAAGAGTTAAAATTACGACATTTTCCTCATTAATTTCTCAGTGTTATCCATCAAAGATAAATATTACGTGCATTAAATCAAATTAGTAGTACTAAAACTGTTAATTGGCCGATAATTATGTGACAAGTGGCATTGTTATCTGATAAGGTCGATTAATTTTTTTCTATACATTTCTATATCAACTCTTTTTACGCAAATGATTTTAAGGAAGTTTTGTTATCTATTTACGTAAATAAATATTCAAATGTTATCATTTTTCTTTCTGTTTAATAAGAAAAAAAATTGAATTCTAAATATAAATTTTATTATTATTTTAATCAATTTTTTTCTATTTTATTTTACAAGTATCTAACGGTATTTCTTGTTTAACATATATACGCTTTACTATAAAAAAAACCATATTGGACTTTAATATTTTACTAACTACATAAACTTAAAAGCTGAAAGTTAGTAAGTTTAGGTAGTTAGTAAAATATTTAAGGGCTCGTCATTGTTTTCCATATTAATATTAGTGAAATTAATAAAAAAAAGAAATATTACATTTATGTGATACGGCGGCAAACGATCTGACGGTTCACCTGATGAGAAGCAATCGTAGAACCAAACATAGAAATCCGGAATACCAAAAGTGTTGCATGTACACTGCCGGCCTTTTGGGTGTAAGGGGTTTCGGGTTTACAGGGATTGGGCAGGAATAGGCGGAGGGAAAAGATTAAGCCTCAGTTAACTTCATTCACATGGCGAAAAACCTTTCTGCATGGTTGTATCACGCAGGTTTTCTTTAAGGCCATTCATGGCAAAGTATGGCTCTCCTTCACTTATATGGTTAACGATTGTGTCTGCTCGACAAACTGCGACATGGTCAAAATAGAGTTTTATACATATAAAAGTACTAGATATTCTTTCGGCTTCAACAAATCGTTGCGTGATGTTGTATAGCCTTCCCTTCCTTGATAAACGAACTAATAAACACAAAGAGAATTGTTAAATTCGAACCAGTAGTTTTGGAGATTATCGCGTTCAAAACAAACTCAACAGCTTTATAAAATAACCTTTCAACAACCTCTTTAAAAATTAATATTAAATAGCTACCTAAGTTTAAAATTTCAATGTCTTTAAATTGTTAAAAGTTACGAGACAGTGAAGGTTCATATTACGAACAGATTTCAAAGAAGCCAGCATTGTGCTGCAGACGAAGTTTAGTTAAAGTTTCATGTAGGTACTGTGGCATACGCTCTTCACTTGAAGGTAATTTTGTAAGTGGGTAATTTTACTTTGTTATATAACTATTCAATGTTTTGTTTTCTCGTTACATATCAGTCTAAATTGGAGAAGATTTTTGAAATATTAATAAGCATGAATAAGTGAATGAGTCTATAAACCGAACTCGCGATCCAGTGCGTAATAGCCATTTACACAGCTACTGCACCAACCCAACAATGAATTGATTAATAAATAAAAAAATATATTTATATTAGGTCCTATGTTTCCAAAAAATAACAGTGTTTTATTTTAAACATAAACTTTAATCATTTTCTTTTGATAATTATTAATACCTATGTACTTACAAATTATACTTCATTACATTATTTCTTTCAAATTAGCGGTGTTGATGTTGCGGTTGCGTGTTATGTCGTCAAAGTGTTTTAAAACTTTAATGATATTTTTTAATATTTTTCCAAGCCTACATTTATTGTACTAAATAAATAAACAATGTATTGCAAAAATTACAATTTCAGTGCAGTTTTATTAACATTTTAATAGAGGGGGAGGTCATTAGTTCGCGCATGCGTGTCAAAAGGTTGCGAGTTCGTTCCTGCCGGATGACCGCGGTACTCGGTAGTTCATCGCTCGGTACCGTTGTAGACTGCCGTATCCAGTCTCCCAGTTCGCTCCTCCGCGTAAAAGTTTCCTCTGCACATCAAAGGAATTGTAGAAGTTTGGTACATCGTTCGTTCCTCAAGTTATCTATGTCGTGTATTGTGTGAGTTTTGTTGAGAAAAGTCAACATGCGGTGGTGTTTTCCAGCAGTTTTGTTCTTCGCATTAGTTTGCTCAGGTAAGTTAACTTTTAGTTCAAAAGAAAGTTTAAACTAAGTCAAGTTAAAAATTTTGCGTCGATAAGGGGAATTGGTAATTTTTTGCGCACCTACTAACCCACTTATGATTGTCAATTTTATCTTTTGACGTAAGAAAATTAGAAAAAAACCTTGAGACCGAATTTATTTAACGATCATTTAAAGCGTCTAGTGATTGAATACGCCTTGAGATGTTTTTGCACATCATTGATTTGTTTTGTATTCATGTCACAAGCGATAAAATCGTATGTATTTATCAAAAGGTCAATAAGTGATTAAATGACATGGCATTAAAAGATCATATCACGGAGACATGTTATGTTCTAATTTAGAAAAGTAATGTAATGTTTCTATAGTTGTTTGTGTTGACGACGAAATTCATATTTCACAAAAGGAATATCTCTGTTGAATCATAGAACATTCCAGTCACGTAAACTTCAAGGAACAGTGCATCCATCGCCCTCAAAGGATTGAGATGAATCCATTTTTTTTTACATGGCTCGAATTTTTTTTCCTTCGGATGGATAATCATACACTACGTTCAATATTTTGACATAATTGTCTTAAATAGTAATGGTGGTACCATTGGTTTCAAAACAACCTGTATTTGATTTTATAGAATCTAATTGGGTAATTATTTGAAATTAAATAGTATTCCAAATTTTACAACAGGTACACGTTTTATGGAAAAAAATAAAATTGGAATAAAGCGTTGCATGTGTCAGGCAATTTCTTAAAATTGCCAGTACAAAGAATTCGAATTTTGAAATTTAAAATGTACGAGTATGTAACGAAATTTCATGGGAACAGAGAATTATATCGGATAGAACTAAATTAGTGTAGTATCTGCGTAATACTTCGAATCAAATATTGAAGAGGATAAAAAAGCAAAGGGAAGCCGAAGTTTAGTTGAAATGGTTATATTACACCAAAATATGCTTTTGAAATAACACTCTTGCTATTGTGAACTAGTTAGGCACTATGTTATGTACGAATTTTATAAAGCCACGATAGTTATGTACATTACATATAGGTTTAAAATTCATTAAAGCCTCGTTGGTTGTTTGTCCACGAGGTTTGGATTTGACACCCAAGTCAGGCACAGTATACGTCTTTTTTTTTCTTTGTAAATGACTAAGTCATGTGTGATTATATAACAAACGGAGAGCTTGTGAAGAACAATTTATTAAAAATTTAAAATCGAAAAGTGTGTAAATCAATAAATATTATATCTCTAGCTACAATATCTGAAATAAAAACAAAAGATGTTCAGAGAAAGAACGAATGATACTCAGAAACATATTTAATTGACAGGTCAGCCGGTGTGTCAATTATAGTTCGTTCAACTAATGAGGTTACGCACCAATAAAATTCATGGTGAATGACGCGATGACGCTATAAATATACCATAAATTCACGCCGGTCCTTTTTTTTCGAAGGGAAGGGCAGAACTGTCAAGAAATTCGCATTGTTATCAGTATTATGATAGAATTTTTAAGTATGATTTTTTTGTGGAATCCTTTGAGCCACGGACTACGGGTTAAGGCTTCTCATTCACGCGGGATGTGATCTGGTAAATATCCAAACTGGACGTGGACATGTAATTTTTGAGCAAGATCTGTGAATAATGCTCAAACTTTTACAGTATACAAAGAGATGTTTGATCAGCATCGGGTATTTATAGGCTGATGATGGGTAGGTGAAGCACATATTTGCATAGTGAGTATGTTAAAATCGTACACAAAAATAAATACTAGGCTACGAAGTAATCAGGTCTTAATAATTGTGATATATACATACGATAATAATTATGTCGTATTAGTGTTACGTAAATCATGTATTATATATTATTTTATTTTTTATTTACTTTTGATTATTTTTGCAGATCATGGTACAAACATGATCCCCAATCAGGACAACCTGAAATGTAAGGCACACAATGCACGTGTAACTTACAACCCTGCTACGACTGTCCATGGGCCATGCCGATCGCTTTTTTATACACTATAGATACTTTTTTGAAATAAAAAACAAAACGTTTAACGTTAAATATATCAACTACATTTGTTTATACAACAGCTATTAGCTGGAAATGTTCGTTATCATTATAAATAAAATAGTGATAACTATGTTTATTTTACCCCCGACCTTCGACCTACGTAAAACCCCTAATTTTTATCTCTGACCGGTAGTGGGCGATGGGCAAATCCGCAACCTCTATATCACTTTGGATTGACCCCAATCAAGGCCGACAAAATAGGATTTCCCGTTTAGGATTTTCTTTAAACATAAACTGGAGTTTAGATTAAGCCTATTTGTAGTTGGTGGCAAAACTAGATTATTTTGACGTTTACTTCTTAAGTGGAGCAATTTTTTAAATGTTTTATTTTATAGCCCATCGTGTGTCCCACTGCTGGGCAAAGGCCTCCCCTTTTTCCTTCTAAATTTCTCTGTCGAGAGCGATCTCCGGCCAAGTTTGCCCCGCGAACATGATCAGATCGTCACACCACCTTCGCCGTGGTCGACCTCGACCTCCTACGTCCAGTGAGTGACAACCTTCGCCCATCTGTCCATCATGCATTCGTGCGACGTGGCCAGCCCACTCCCACTTCAGCCTGGCTGTTTTTTCTCCGACATCTGCTATTTGAGTTATGGAGCGCAGCGTGGTGTTTCTAACGCGATCTATTCGCTTAACACCTAAAATGCTGGTTGTTTGTGATTATAAAATGATGAAATCTTTTAAGTGTTAAGCGAATACATCGCGATAGAAATGAATAAATATTTATTTAATTTTTTGACCCCTGGATAGTGTTGTTTTCGAGTTGTGCAGCTTAATGCCATGCGAAGCGAAACTCTGATAAACTCGTCATGTCTGTTTTTGGAGAGGAGGGGGAATCATCAAATTACTTATCTCACCCTAGGGCGAGTGGGTGTGTCGGACTCTTACTGACTAAGAACCACGCCGTCCCTTCTCTTTTACATTGCGCTTGACCCACAATCGCGGCCAATTCATGTATGTTTCTCCGTTTGTAGTTCACCGGCATTACTTTCCAAAAACTAAAAGGACTATACTGTTAAAACTTTTTATGTAGGTGTATTCTGTGAAACGCTTTAAGGTTTTGCTGAAAAATAGTTAAATGAATAGTGATTAACTATTCATTTAACTATTTTTCATTACATATTTGTTTTGTCAATAAACTAGCACTGATATTGAGAACAAACCGAATAGAGAAGAATGAAACAGTCATAATATTATCAAAAAGAAAAACACTATTACTGTATTGGATTTACAATGAAATCACATATGAAATTACAGACGACGAATTAAAAAGTAACCACTTTTCTATAGAAGACAGAAAGACTGAAGAGCTCTAGGATAAAAAGATGTTGTCAAACGAAAATGTGTCATTAGTAACACATCATTAGAGCAGTTATGAATATGCACCATTGAGTACATCCACCATTAGAGTGCTAGTTTCCCAAGTTTGAGCACACAGTACAGTCACGTTCGAAGTTATGCAATTAGTGGTATTGACAAAGACCCATAAGGTTCACCTTGTGTTGTGGAGCACAAGCACTGATGGGTAATTTCAGTTGGATAATATCGTTTATGACATCTTGTATTATCATGCATATATTAGGTCCCAGTTTTATGAGAACTGATTTATGATCAGCTAATCTCAGAATAGATTTTATAAATGCACTCATGTTTCTTATTTGCTTATCATTGTGATCAGGGCATTTTTAACTTCTGGAATTGATTGTTTGCAAAATCCAATGGACATGGTACAAGGTACCGCGGCCTCTGCCTGGAGCAGGAGAAAGAATAAGGTAGTTTTTAGTCAGTAAGAGTCTGACACTCCCTCTCGCTCTAGGGTGAGAAAAGTCATTTGATAATTTCCCTCACCCCTTAAATAAAAAGACATAACGACTTTATAAGGGTTTTGCTTCTGGACTGGTTATGGCTTATTCTGGCTTTAGAACCCGAAAACAATACTACCCTAAGACGAGAGAATGAATCATCTCTTGATTTCCCCCCTAACCCTCTGCGATCTTTGTAAATCTTGAAAATGGTATCAAAGATTCTATCATCTTTTTTATAATCAGACGTTAGTAAAGATATAGTTCTCTCTCTCAAAAAAAAACATGCTTTATCTATACTTATACCAACTGCCGGCCATTTTGATTTGTAGATACAAATTCCATTCAGAGGAATCTTTTTGGAAAAATAAAACTTCTCATAAGTGGTCTAACTTAGATATGTTTAGACTATCGAGGATGGTGCTCTCTTGTATATTGTTGCATGTTATAATTACTATTTTGAGAACGAATCACTGATTGGAATAAAAAAAAGATGATTCTAAATCGAGACTTAATAATATTTACCTACTTTGTATACTATTTCTGAACAAATTTTGTACTTGCACTTAAACGGAATAATAATTAAAATAGTAAGAAGAGGAAAGTTTTCATGGTACCCAAAATAGTTGTTATGATAGAACATCTATAAAGCAATAAAAGTGAGAGGGAGCAACAAAATTTGTAATCAGGTCACCATAAAAGGATATAAAACGCCTTTAGATCTCGATAAGCACATTTATCACATTATTTTATAACATTTTTGCCGGCTTCAAGGGAATTAACTTGAACATGATATTTCCCCATCAGTCGTAAAATGGGTGTGGTTGGCCAAGCCCTAAAGATAATCTGCCATTATGGCCCGGGTCAACGTAACTTACGAAGCCCATGTTACATTCCTGATGTAATTGAAATTTTCATAAACCCTTATTTGCATAAAAACGTATAACACAACATTACGACTTTTATCCCCTGAAGGGTTAGACTTTTATTTAGTTGAATATGTCTACATATACTTGCTAATTATGTTATTCATCTTCACTAAAAAAGGGTTTTCCTAGGCATGTTCATCGAATACTTTGAAGTCTTACTCATAGTGACTTGAGTGTGTTCTAAATTAGAC